ATTATAAATACCAAAAGTAGTATACTCGTACTTAATTAATTGATCTATCCAAGGCATTTATGGAAATGCTTAAGTTAAGCCTAGCTTTTCAATGCACTCAGCTCAGTTTTGAGTCTAGTTAACCACACTTTCATCATTCTGCATTGGAATACTTGTCTGTTTTGAGAAAATTATTGACTTTCCAAAAATCGACGGACAAACGCAAAGAAACATCACAATATAGAACGATTGCCACAGGCGATGCCCACTCACGGGTTCATTTCTTGACAATTCCGCAATCTATCAATTTCTTGATCTCAGCATCAACACTTCTAACAGTTTTACAGGCTCAGGAATAACAATTTCATACTTAATACATATTACAAAAGATTTATATCAACATAATTATGTAATTCTTGTTTAATATTCATCTCCACAACGTCTTCGCAAGATTTTTCCTGCTATTTCACAAAAATTTTCAAGATTGCGTACGGACCAAAAGACTGCGGTCCTTGCGTCGAAGAGCAAAATTTCCTCTGATAATCGCACACCGTAAACCTAACTGCAACAATCAGTTTCAAATTAACACTCTCCGATATTCCGCTAAACGTAATCTAATTCATAGAAGAACGAGCCCTACGGGAGTTGGCAAATACATTCTGAAGTGCAGACATGGCCATGCACCATCACCATCACCATCACCACCACCATCACCATCACCATCACCATCATTCACCATATCGTCACAAGCGACGGGAGCGACTCTGCTCTGCTCTGTAACAATATAAGAATTATGTTCATAGATTAAAACTCGTTCAACAAAATATCAAACTAATTGCATTACGAATAGAACCACGTAAAGACTATAATTAAATAAAATGATATCGAACTGCTGATAGACTGGCTAGGCCGTAACTGAGGTTATATATTAATGCCAGTAAAGCATAAGGGACATCCATGCGTCATACAAAGCACACACAGCCTCATTAATCCTACACAAAACACACACAGCCTAATTAATCCCACACAAAACACACACACAGCCTCATTAATCCCACACAAAACACACATGGCCACTGTTTCCAACCCCTACCCCTCCTCCCTCTCTCAAAACCCCCCCATGCACGGCCTGCTTAGCTGCTCTGTTCAGCTCCCTGCCGGACAATCCCAAGTACCAGCGCTAAAACAGCGCAGAGTTCCGTCCTTGCCGAGCTGCTAGAATTTTGTCTCTATATCAGCCATGGCGCAGCGCAGTTTTAGGGATAGATGGCCGGTTATAGTTTCACGGCTCCATCCTGCTAAAGCGCGACCAGCCCGGCTAAACCCGGCGCCGGTCGCGGCTCAAAATTTTAACTGGGATTAGGAACAATATTTTATATGTATTATTTAATATAATAAAATTATGCATAATTTTTACCCTATGTTATAATTATCCCAAATAATTCTACATAATCATACATGATTACATAATAAATAATTAAACTATATATAATTGAAAATAATATAGGCTTAAAATATAGGATTAACAATATTGACGACATATGTTTATTCTTCTATGCCAAATGATAATGATTGCCGTGATGATGGCGCTGTGTCCAATGATTGGCCGTCATCTGAGGGGGCTGTCCATCATCATCGGCAGCCATTTTGTTTCATGTGCGGCGGTCATCAGTCACAATTATTACGCATCGCTAATATAATTATAGTCTATATATCATTATAACATTAAGTGATATAGTAATATTGGCCTACAGTTCAGTGGCCGCCGTCCACCCACTCGTCAACCGCGGCGCGCGTGTCGCCCTCATAGCTCGTCCAGACGCCCCCGTCTCTCAGCGCCCGCAGCAGCGGCGGCAGCTGCGCGGCGCCAGCGCCCCGAACCTGGGCACACAAATTGCCGTGTCATATCATATTGTTATACGATGTAAAACTAGTTATATATACGATGTATATATATACAATTATACGATATATACTATACCGCGTATAGTGTTTATGCAGGTGTTTTACGATGTATACTATACAATGTATGACTATACGATGTATAACAAATGGATTTGTATTTCCCAAGGACTATGGATGTATTCCATAGGGGAAAATGGATGTATGGATGGGATGTGATGTATTCCCCATATAATTCTCCATATGGATGTATTCCCCAAGACTCTATTTCCCCCGTGGGGGTCGGGGGGCTACGCACCTCTTGCCAGGGGGGGCGAGGGATGTGATGGTGTGGGCCACGGCCCCCCAGGACCCCTCATCCGCCCCCTCCACGAACAGCGCTGGCGGGGGGGAGGGGGAGGAGGAGGGCAGCGGCCACGTGGGGGAGGAGGGGCCAGGGAGCGGGAGGGGGCGCGTGTACACAACTGCGCAGGTCAAATGATGAGGATATCATAAACAAATTATGAACGCTATAACATCAATATAATGATATTATAATGACAACATCATTGTAACAAATATGATGATAATAATTATAAAATGTTAGAATGAGGATTAAATATACAGTATTAGGAGGGAATATTAATATATACATATTAAATTATTATATAATACATAATATTTTACATATTGTATATAAGACCAATATACTATATAAATTTATTACTAAATATACTTCGTATATTTATTACTAATTTATTACTAAATATTATTACTATATATACTACTTTACTTAGGGGGCGTGGCCATTCACCGCATTCGCCAAGAAGCCCCGCCCCCCCCC